TATTTTATTCAAGAGTCTTACAAAAATACTATTCATTAAGCTTTAGCTTCAGTTTGTGAAAGGGTTGAATTAAGTTGGTAGGTTTGTATGGACAAGTGTCAGGGGCCTGACTGAACTGAGTCCTGTAGCTGTGGGTCATAGCAAGTATCAGTCTCTAAAATGATGAGCAAGAACATTAAATAGATAAAGTTTAACAAGTGACAAGATATGAAACTTAAGGCTACTTAAAGGGCAATAACTAGTTTTGTCAAGTGATTCTACATTTTTTTTTTTTTTTAAAGCAGACTGCAAAATCACCATGGGGTTATGGCTGGACACAATGCCTGAATAATATTAATAGTATCTTATTTAAGCAATTTGTTTTTAAAATAATATAAAACAACTTGTTTCAGAAATGACATGTCCAATCACTGGCTGTTATTTTTACACCCTGAAGCTTTTGTATAGGATATTTAGAAAATCAATCCTGAAGACTTAAAGGAGGTAGCATAAATATCCCCTCCCCCCCAAGCAATTTGTTTTTACAGTGTAAGAGAGAATAATTAAGAGGAAGTCATTGTGGGAGAAAAGGAAAGAGAGGGGAAAAGAAAAAAAAAAAAGGCAATATCAAGCAAAAAAAAAATAAAAGTTAGCTTAATTTTTCTAGTTCCAAATCAAGCTACAGACTATTTAGTAAAATATACCAAACTGAACACAAATTTAAAGCATCTTTTGAAGGTTACCATACAATGAAAAGATCCATCAAGGTGGTTATAAAAGATATTAAATTTCCTGGGTATTAAGCTGGCACTCATTAACAAGAGGGAGAGAAGAAACAATTTTATTTTGTAGAACATCGTCGTCGTCCTTATTTAGAAAAGGGGTGGGAGGTAAGCTTCACTATCTAGCAAGATTACTGCACAGTATTTGTACTTTATTACAAATTTAGTCACCTGCACTTCAGTTTCCATTACTTTTAGATGAGTTCAGACACTCCAATCCAACAAGACACTAATTTTGCACTTCAGAAAGCAGTTCAACTTTTCAAAAGATCAATCCTATCAATCAAATTTAAAATGTCACAATTTGATGCAAGAAACAAGATTTTGAAAAGAACACCTTAGTGAACAAATAATTGCCAATATATATATATATATATAATTAAAAAAAAAAAAATTTAATTGACATGCCTTCAGTCATTGATAATAAGGTAGTTGATTCTACTTCGATCACAGGCAAGACAACTCCAGGTTATTTCTGCACAAACATTACATCACAGTATATACAAAGAATAACAGTACTAACAAACCCAAAGAGAGAAAAATAATTCAGCATGTAAAGATAAACAAATTTACAGCATTTTTGATAAAATACTTTTAACTGTTGTCAAAAGTGTATATCGTGGCTATAATGAGATCACCAGTAGAATCACCCAAACTAGTGTCTAATGAGATTCACACAACACCATGATTGAAACTTAGAGATAAGAATGAATTTTTTTTTTTTTTTTTGTTACTCAGTACCCAGACATAGCATATTTTACTTTCCTTTTTTCAAAAATTGGCAGTGGTTTCATTTTTTCTTAAACTTGGTAATTTAAAAACAAAACATTCAAACTTAAGAGGAAAAAAAAAAAAATTGCAAAAGACCATGTAATAAGCAAGACAAAGATTGTAAGGCAATAGTAATGTGGACTAATAAATGGTTTCTCCTTTAGTGATGAAGTGTACAGAAAAGAAATTAAAACTTAATTTTAGTAACAGCAAAAAGATGAACATAAAAGCAAATGAATATTAAAGAGGAAAAAAAAAAAAAAATAAAAAGACTTTCAGCATAGTATGGGAGTATGAAGCTGAGAATCTAAAATTTGCTAGCTTTAATGACAAAAAAAAATTTTTTGAAAATATAAAGCCAATTTGTGTTAAAACTTTAATTGCAAAAATCATGTTCAATATTTCTGGTCAAGTGTTGATAGTTAAGCACCAACTTGAGTAAATTTGGGACAAGTTTCACCTTGATTTAATGTCAAGATCTCACATAACGAAAAGGTTTCAAAATCTACAATCAATTTGTGGGATCAAGTTGGTAACCTACCTTACAACATCCAACCAAAGATAAGCAGGCAAGATTTAAGTGGACTTTGATATTTATTGAAAATAATTATTTTAGGTGGAGGGACAGTCTAGGCTGTTCTTTACACGCAAACAATTGATAAATTTAAACAGAAATTGTTCCATCAAGAAAAGTACATGTAAAGTGAAGTGAAGAGGTATATAGAAACAATGGTTATTTAAAAAAAAAAAAAAAAAAAAAATCTACAACTGCCTGCAAAAATTAGAAATTGCAAAATAAGTTTCACATGACTTGGGAATGTACTTTATATAAAAAATGGCAACTCAACAGATACCAAGCTAGAGACAGGTTTATCGGTCTTTCCATTCATTACTCATTACACATGGTCTAAGAAAGTTGGGGTGGGCGTGTAAAAAGAAAACCTAAGAAAAAGTAAAGAGAAGAAAAAAAAAAAAAAAAAAAAAAAAAGAAAAGAAAAGCAGGCAAGCAATACATGAATCAGTTGATTAAACTAAGCTTACAGTTGATTTCAGTCATAGCTCCATTTTGCCAAGCTTAATTCTTTCACACCACACAGGAAAGAAAAAAAAATACATGAAGCAAACAAAAGGTTGCATAAAATTGTGAAAATTTTGGAAATCTGTTAAAGGGAAAAAGTTATAATTCAATAGGATTTAAGTTTAAAAATTACCAACTTATTTTTTTTCAGTTATCTAGAAAAAAGTGTCAATTCTTATGAAGATGGAAATTTGTTTCCAGATATATTTAGAAGTCGCTAAGAAATGATATTCACAAATAAAATACTTTACAGAAAGTATATAGACAGTAAGTTGGAGATAAATTTGATATGGATTTTAAGCCAGGAATCTATTTTTTTTTTTTTTAGTGCTGTTAGTGGGTTAAAAAGTTAGCATTAATCTCTTAGTAAAAGATATGCCCAAAAACAGACAATAGATGGTTAAGTATGGATTAAACTAATTGAGTGTGGGGAGGGGGAAGCATATAGGTTTTGTATTGACATTTTAAGCAGGTTTTTTTTTTTTTTAAAAAATAAAAGTTAAGATAAATTACTTGGCAGTAAGAGGCAAATCAATACAGTTTGTAACCGTAACAATTGAAGAGCACAATTATAAACATACATACATACATGCACACTCATTTACTTACATATGCACTAACACACAAGAGGGCAGGCTGGGTGATACTTGGCATTTTAATTTTTCTCAAGTGACTTTAATTATAAATATTTAAGGCAGCATGAAATTATGAAGAAAAGTTAGATATTAGTTCAATCATCATGGTTTCAAGATTTGTTACATAAATGAGGAAGAATATGCTTGGCCAATTTAGCATAAGAAATGAAATGAAATTGACTTTTAAAGGAGTCACTGAAAAGGTCTATTTTAAAAGTTGCCCTAAGAAGCATAGTAAGAATAAATGATGCCAGCCCCAATATTCTGCACTCTGATTTCAGGTGGTGTGGGGAAATTTACAAAAGACTGCATAACATTCCCTTTTTAGTGAAGATTTAGTATGTGTTTATGTTAAAGTTTTTAATTTTTTTTAAATTTTATTTTAAAAAAGGGGGGGCTGGTTACCTCTAGTATGGATAAAAAATATGCATTTTAAATGATAAAGAAAAAAAAAAAAAAAAAAAAAGGGGAAGAAAGAACTTTAAATTCTTCAGAAATTCTGCATGTCTTTAGTATCAGTATTTGGTCACAATCTTTGCTATGAATATGGTGATGAAATTAATTCATCTAATATCCGTGTCCTATGATCTGAATCTAAGTATTGATCGTATTTATTAAAAAAAAAAAAAAAAAACAAACAAACAAAAGGAACAGTGTCCAAGGTTAACAAGGAATCAGCCAAACATTCAAGAAATGTCTCTAGAAATTTATTGGAAGATAAAAAAAAAAAAAAAAAAAAAGTTTTCACTGTCGGAGAGGGATGAAGGACTTTTTTCTTTTTAAAACAGATTCAATCTTCAAAATCCATCATGAGCAGCAACCTCATGACATATATAGAATTAAAAATAAAGAGAAAAGATCCAGAAGTTGGCTGATTATACAAAGTAAAATAGATGAAGATGCTAACATTGGTCAACAATGTATTTATCACTTTCAGTAGCTCAAGAAATAAAAAAAAAAAAAAAAAAAAAATTTGAGAAGTATGTGTATGGATGAGAAATTATAGGATTGGAACAGCAACAACAGATCAGGAAGTCAATACATCTTCACACATTATCCACCTAAGGATAACTACTGGGTTGCAAGTATCCAAAAGGAACAGCACAACTGAAAGTATTTTCAAAATGGAGGAGAGTGTTAAAATTATAAATTCATCAGAACTAAATATCAAAACCTATTTCTTGTTGAGAGAAAAAAAAAAGTCAAAGTTAGTATTATTGTTGAATCTCATGAAAAAGTCAGAGCACTGGCTGTTACTACAAATAAAATATATATAATAAAATGAAGAAAAATAGAATAAATAAATTTGAAAAGAAAAAAAAAAGTTGACCAAGTATCCATGTCAACCAACTTCCAGCTGGGAGAATTTGGAGTTCCTTTGGTTTGTCAATCACAGTAGTGAGCATAACCCAGGCCATGTGGGAGTTGAAAAGGTCATGAACCAGGTTATTTTTTTTATTTTTTTTTTTTTTTTTTTTAATACCTTAATTAGATGAAAGAAAGCTGCTAGATAAGTGCAGATGCATTGGCAGAATTTAAGGAAAAAATACAGGCCATCATATCTGAATATATCCAAGTTTCTAATGAAAATCTCATCGTTGCTGAAAGATGGGGGATGCAAAGTTCCAGGGCTATTAGTAATATTGGTTCAATGATTAAAAGATGCCCATACAAAGTTGTCTTTGCCAGTTCCCACAATTTTCTTCTAGTTTATTTTTTTTTTTTTTAAATTTTATTTTAAATTCAAAAAACAAATCAAATTTTTTGAATTTTTTCACCCACAACAACGGGATTGTTCTTTCTGATTTGTTCCTGAGCCATCTCCTTATAGTCAAATGTACAACTGTGCTTATCCGAATAACGATGAAGACTGCAATAAAGTCCTTCACATCGGCATCGGAATCCTGAAGAACATAAAAGAACAATGTCAAAATACCAAAGAACAAAGTAAATTTCCTTACTTAGACAATTTTATTTTTTTCTAAGCAGTATAAAATATATACTCAAAAATCTTAGCCAATCTTGAAGATTTTAAAATCAGAAGTTTTTTTTTTTTAATTTTATTTTCATGAAAAATTTTCATTTTCAAATTAATTGATATAGCAAGTTTGAAATATGAAGAATTCACATCTAATGATATTTATAAAAAAAAAAAAAAAAAAAAAAAAGATAGCATGCTCACCTGTTAATCCCACCTTCTTTCTGCAAGTTTGGCAACGATTCTTTTTAGGTTTTTTATTTACTTCTGGGGACTGCGCATCATCACCACCTGTGGATAAGAAAGATACACGCACATAAATATTCCTCTTTCATTAGTAATCACAAATTGCAAGCCACATTTCAATCCTTATAACTACAAGTAGGTACCACAAACTCAAACTTTATTTTCAGTATATCTAATAACCTCTAAGAGAACTTTAGGGAGAGGGAGAGGGGAAGTACCAAATTTATCTTGGCAGTTTAATTACCAATGAAGAAAATATCCAGAAGCACAATTTGACAGTAGAGTTAAAACAGGCCAAAAAGTATACCATCCTGAACTTACCATAAAGAAATATCCATTGGAGGCACATGCCTTAAACTAATTTTGGGACAAGGGATTCAATAAAATAGTTCTTTACTTTGTAATATAAATACCTTTTCTCATACATGTATCTAACTCTGGAGAATTGTGAAATAATCCAGTTTTTAACCTGTCCCCCCCCCCAAAAAAAAGGGGGGGGCAGTAAGGACTACAAAATTTAGAAATGCGTTTCATAAAATGAATCATCTGTCATTTCTTCAAATACTTATTTAAAATCTGTCTATATTTCTGAGAGGAGGTATTATGTACATTATTCAGAATATTGCCCTCATCTTTGTCGCCATATTTATTACGTATCGGCCTTCTTCAGGTGGTTGGAATGTCTAACTCAACCCTTTATTTCGCTCACTGGGGTAGACTGTTCTAGTTCCACGTGCCATATTTAATGGATGTCAGTTATCTGTTATCTCCTGTTAAGTTCTGCACTGTCATAACCGAGTATTGAACTCACACTCTTTGGGTCCTGTCAATGGATCTCACGCCTTTATCCATGTGCCCTTGAGGAAATAAAGGGTTCAGTTCGACATTCCAAAAAAGGCCGGAGCGTACAACGGCCAAAATGTAATAAATATGGCGACAAAGATAAGGACAATAGTCTGAATAATGTAAAGAACGTACTTATTTTAAAGCTTTAAACTCATTTATCTTCAAACTGAAACAAATAAAAATACATATATTGGAACTGATGAAAAAGACAGTTGAAATAGTACTTCTGCATTTCCTCTTCTAATGGTGATTTGCAGACTGAATTTGTTTAGAAGCCAATAATGCTGGAACACTCCATTTTATATTGAAAGTGGTATTATATCAAAATTCCATCTAAATGCTGATGCCACTTATACAACATCATCCAACAAAGGCCATCAAAAATAATCATTTGTGTCTTTGGTTGGAACTAAAAGTTCTTTTACACCAGACAGAAATGTAGTAATATCAATGACTTGGTCAATGTAAAAGCTGGAATAGTATACTACAACCCATTGGTCTTGCTGCTTGTAACTGAAAGTCACTTGAAGTGGTTCTACATAAATGCTAGAAGTATTTGAATATACAGATTCACTGAGTGCCTTTTCTTCCTTCCTTTAGAGGCAGAGATGAAGTTCCATTAAAAGTTATAATCACTAATGTCTATTCTTGCCATCAGTTTTTAACTAACAGGATATATTGCAAGAAATTTGGTATCTTCTTCAGCCTGTTTCTCCTACTTTTCAGGGTACTGAGTTCATCATCCACTGAACAGAACATTAAACAAATTTTTGCGTGGAAAGTACTAACACAAATAGATGCCCGCTTAAAAAAAAAAAAAAAAATGTTGCTTATTATCTTCTATAACAGTGTTAGGATAATATGTTAAGGAAGAAAAAAAAAAAAAAAAAAAAAAAAAAAAAAGTAATATTACATAGAGACAAAGATTATAAAAAGACAAAGCATTTGCAAAAATTGAACTATAAGATATATCCAGTTTTTTTTTTATAAATAAATAAATAAAAAAAAAAAAAAAAAAAAAAAAGAAAAATGTAGATTTTTACATGACACAGGACCTAATCCTTAGAATTAGTAAACAAATCATTAAAAAAAAAAAAAAAAAAAAAAAATTGTTTTTTTAAATTACATTCTGAAAATTACCTAATTGCATTATAATTTTTTTTTTTTTTTAAATGAATCTATGCACCAAAAGTAAGGCAATTTTTTTTTCTTTTACTAAAAAAGTTCTCCAGTTTAATTTAAATGAAAAAAAAAAAAAAAAATTTTCAATTTGATCTCCAAAATTCAAGAATTAGATTTTCATAAACACTAGTAACTTAAAGTAAGAATATACCCAGTTTATATTTTTATATGAATTCTGCTTAATTTTTTTTTTTTTGTAACTGCATAAAAAGCAGCTCAGGCAAAAGTCATCTGAGCATGTAAATTTGGACAAAATTCAACAAATAACTACTTTATACAGTTTTAAAATGAATCACTAAAAGAAAAGATTTAAGCTATAATATCCACTGATAAAACAAGTAATTTAAAATGGGAGTTCAGTTGGCAATATTCATTCACTGTCAACAATACAAATTCCAATACATCAGACCCAACTGTTTTGCATAAATATGTATGCAGTATGATCTTTTTCATACATGTGTGCCACAAGTTGGTTGAGTGCAGAGATATGAAAACAAATGATTATAAAATACAAGACATTGTTCTACAAGGAGGTATAATTTTATTTTTAAGAGAGTTGAATTTCTCTGGCATTTCAAATTTTCAATAGGTCATCCCCCTTAAAAAAAAAAAAAAAAAAAAAAAAAAATGCAATACCTAATGTTTAGCATGAATTTTTAATAATAAAATATCCCTGCCCACTAAAAAAGAGGAATACAATTTGAGCGCCTTATAAGCACTCAGTAATCTTTAAAAAAGTAGGGAAATATTCTCTGTAATGTTTTTATCAAATTTTGGCTCTAAATTTACTAGTTATTGCTCTTATCTTCAGATAATGTCATGTATGGACAACTGTATCTATAAAAATTGGCATGTTTATACACATACAAAAACAATTCAAAATTCTTTTAAAAATACTCGGGGTCGTCAGATTGCAATAAGCTTTACATATATGATCAGTAAATATAGTTTTACAATATTCCAAAAGTTACAGCATTGAAACTGTATTTAAAAAGATTTAGAAGTATAAATTATTCTAATTACAAGAAAAAAATCTTGTAAAAATCCATTTTTCATTGAAAATTTTTTTTCCCTTAAGACACTATTGTCCTTAATACTCATAAAAGCAATAAAAAAAATTTCTAATCAAATGTCTTAGTTTTATTGCATTTTTATAAGTTTTCAGCAAGACTGGGCCTAATTCAAGAAAAAAAAAAAAAAAAATTCCTGAAAGTTCCATTAAAATCTGATAATTTGATTACAAGAATTTACAAATTAATGTCTGACCACAAAAAGACACTAAAATTTTCTATGCCAGTATATTAGGAGATTTGTTGACAAAAATTTTTTAACAGATTTTGAATTTTCTAAAAAGGAATAAAAAATTTAATATTCAAAAAATACTTTGACCTTTCCTTATAATAAAGATTGATAAATTTTGTTTCCATTAAGTTTGGAGAATCACAGTATGCTAATTTTGCGACGATACCTAGTTTTCAATTTAGAATTTTTTTCTCAATAAAAAGCATGACCATTGTTGAAAGTGACAATATAAGAGACGAGGAACAAAAACTAATCACACAGGAGAAAGAATTGTATCTTTAGAAATAAGTAAATAAATTTAAAAAAAGAAAAAATTTTGTTTACATATTAATTTTATCAAAATAAGATAAGTTGCAATTGAAGGAAATTTCACTATTTTGACATGTTTTTGCATTGTAGGGCAGTTTCAGATAGTTACAAGCTTAAAAGCAAAGCTGAAGAAATTTCTGACACATGAACAATGTTGAACCATCAACTTAATTCTAAAGTCATATTTAATTGCAAGAATTTGCATAAAAGCTTTTAATCAAATTATAAATCAATATTACATTAACTTACAAACTTGCCAATTCCAGTAAATTTAACATTTAAAGCAAAATTATTTGCTAAACAAAACTATTAGTGATTTTCAACTGGTGTACCATAAACGTTTTTTTTTAGAAGTCATTAAGTAAATTATTTTCAAAAGTAGTCCAAAGCACAATTGTACATATCAAAATTAAAACCCCTTTAAATTGATTATACGAGTACATCATTTTTATAATAAATGTATACATGAAGTTCGTGGGATGTGCAAAATGAGGTCATAGGATTTGACAAGGACATGTCAATGAACACCAACATATGTTAAAATCATCCAAATAGCATTTCAGGAATGACTTGGCAATCCCTCATTGTGCACGTATTGAATTATGCCTGAAGTAATGAGGACATGTAGCTCATACTGAACATTTTCATTACACGGCGTTCAATTAAGATCGGCAAGTTTTTAATTAAGAAATAAAAATTAGAAATGACACTAGTGTGTTGAATACTGCTTCCTCCAGTACATCAGCAACGAAATTAAAAACAAGTATTCGTCAATATAATGAAGATCATCATTCAGTTTCATATGTAGGGAAGGAAATCAACGTCACACATGCACAATGTGGCAAAACAGAAAATGAAAGATATTTACAATCCAGATATGTCCACTTGTTCAAAAAGCCAGTGGAATATCTTAAATGACTTGCACTCAGTAATACTAAACAAGCAAGAATATGGACCCAATATGCAACAATATCGGGTAAAGCAAAACAAGCAAGCTATGCAGTCACAGAAATCATAGATTTTAAATTCACCCTCTCCGTGTTTCCATTATTGTAATGAAAGTAAAATTTATTAAATGGCATTAACTTAGCTTTTTTCTTTATGTATTCTTTACAATTATGCAAATCAAGCTGAATTTATTTGTAACATTTTCTTCCACAATGTTATGCAGAGTTCCATACTCAAGCATATGAATAATTTAGTTAATACTGAAATTCACAATACAAGCTTAAGAGCCACTTAAAGCAGAGGGTTATTTTTAAAATTATGATGAATGAGGTAGTAGGAAAAAATAACAATTGATCTTTGACATGAAAAGGTTAAGATTGGTAACATCCACATAAGAGTCTGTCCCATAAAGTAGCAGTTCTTGGAGGGAAAGCTGTCCAAGTGGAACTTTTGCATTACATTTGGAATACAAGGAAACAAGTGATTTGACTCCATGGAAATAGCATGGAATGTCCTAAATGTAAAGTTCTGTCAATTAGCCATGAAAATAGCAATAGGGTAGCAATAGACATGCAATGTTTGGCCCAATGGAAACAGGTTGCAGAGTGTAAGTCATGCCTCCACAAGATCAAACAATTTCGTACCCTATCAATGCCAGAAACAGAGGATTGAGACACTCCATTCAAGACATTTTTGGAGTCTGGAGTGAACAGGAGACTCAATAGTCATTCAAAGAATTGCGAGTGCAATCAAGGCTGCAGAGTCAGAGTTGGAAGCAATTAAAAGGGTCACTGGAGCCCAAGCCAGTATAGTTTTACCAACTCTGGTTGAATTTACACTATAAAAAAAATTATTTTTATTGTTATTTCTACTGTATATTTACTATTTCCTTTAAACTTCCTCAACTTCTTTTTTCAAGTCATTTTATTTTTTGTATTTGCAAAAAAAAGAAAAAAAAATTGTTGCCTTTAATATCTTATAAAAGATTGTTTCAATTTCCCTAATAAAGTAGTTTTATTTTTGTTCTGTACTTATTTCTTATTTGCAATGTGTATGTGTGTGTGTGTGTGTGCAAAAAGCATTTTTATTTCTATATCCTTTCAAAGATTTTGTCTAATTCTGTTAGAAAATATTAAAGACTGAATATGTATGATATAAAAGCCACAACATCTTTGATATAAACCAGTTATAATGATATAGGCCTACTAAATTTAAGAGCCTATCAGAATCTGATCAGTGATGATGAAATGATACCAGCTTGGTTTTTAAAAGTTACAAACCAATTTTTTCTCCACCAAGAAGGGAGATCAACTGCATGGCCTTTAATCACCTCGATTTTTGGAAGTGCATCAATAAACTGTGGTATCATCTGCATAGATGTTTGCTAATGATCCAAGAAGGTTCCTAGGTAAATTGTTAATAAAAAGCAAAAAGAAAGGAGAGAGCCCTGATGAAACATTTGCATTGATCTCCCAAACTTCACTCCAGAGATGGCATACTGGAGAATGTATGTAGCAAACTCAGATGCTACACATGGGCCAAATTTAAGGCAATTGCTCCGATGACCAAGCTACCATTGAGCATTTTGCAGATTCTGTGCATGACTTAAATCAGCAGCAGTGGACCTAGAGGAGCAAAACTCATACTGTTTGTTGCTCACAATGTCATTTCTGATGAGAATCAACCCTTTGGTGATAATAAACTCAATGGTTCAGTAGGGGAAGTTTAGCAATGTTTAACCTTCATAAAAAAAGAAAAAAAGTATACAATTAAAATTTTAAATATAACCCAACCATGAAAGTGGATCTATACCTTTTCTTTATTCATAAGAATTGACAAAAAAAAATACTATTTATTTATTAGATTGCTTATTTACAAGATTATAAACTCGCTTAAAATGCAAACTTTTAAGCTAGCTCCTGTGGAGGGTTAGTTGGTCTAAAGGAAACTGATCCAGCTTAGGAAACAACAATGATAATTTTGAAGAAATAACTAAATTTTTCAATCCCCATCATGGAACTTAAGTCCATTTCAGGCCAAAAGACAGATTTGACATGCCCAAAATTCTTGGCCACATAAGAATTACAGTCAAAGCTCAAATAGTGCTTTTGAACACACTCGAATCCTGCCAGGACGCATTTTTCTGATAAGATTTATTGAATATTCAAGCCAATAGATTTAATTAAAAAGCAGAATATGAGTACCAATCAAACATTTAAACAAAATAAATAAAAAAAAAAAAAAAAGTCAGAGTTAATCCATTTCATAAAATAAATTGTTTACATTAGGATACGAAAGAGCAGATATGTTTTAAGAATCAGCAGAGGGCATCTATTTGAATATGAGTATCCATCAAAAATAACATTTAAACAAAATAAATTAACACTAAAAATCTTAGGTTTTATCAATTTACATTTTCATGTTGAAACTGCCACATTCATTTTGAGAATAAGCCCAGTATTTACAGAGCTTTGAATTTAGTTTATATTCAAATCTATAAATAGAAAGTTTAAGTACTACACATATCTGAAGAAAAAAATTAATTCAAGGACAGGCACGAAGTCTGGATCAGGAATAAAATTAATTGTATTAAATGTTAATAGCTTGTGTAACAAACTCTTTTTAAAGATAAAATACCAATAATGGACATCTTCCATTACTGTAGTGAGCCATAAAAAAAAAAAAAAAAAAAAATTTTTTTTCAATACTGAGAACAAAGTTTTAGAAAGAGGACTAAGCTAAATCAATATAGGAAATAAATTGTTACATAAATTAAAACATTAACAGCATTGCATATACCAAAATAACCTAATAAATTTTTATTAATAGTAAATTTCATCTGAAATTTAGTATGTACTATTCTTAGTTTAATTAGTAGCATTAATCTTCATAATAGAGTGTGACTATTGCTAAATCCATTGTGAATGTTCAAATAAATCTTTGCAAATATTTCTTACTGAAGAAGTTCCATGGCCATGTTGACTAGTTGAAAGCAATCAAATTAAAGACATTACTTATGAATTATCAATATTACATGACGTAGGAGATATTGGATATATACAAAATATTTAACTCAAACATTGAAGAAAAAAAAAAAAAAAAAATGCACTATATGATTAAAGTGAAATAATCCACTACTATTTGCACCAAAAAACAGTCTTCATCCAACACAATATATTATATATATATATATATATATATATATAGTAAGATTGGAAAGATCTCTATAAGCTCCTTCAAAAGAAATGGTCATTTTAAACCCAACAAATTGACAAAATGGCCAAAAGACAAATGGTAACAGGATAACACTTGACATTTTTTGGTGACTGAGCAAAAATCATTACAGCCTAACAGGGATTTTTTTTTTTTTTTACTAATTCCCTATGTTCACTAGTTATTGTACCTTTGAATTACCATTTTTACGACCTTTAAAGAATTCTTAAAATAGGGTTTTTCACAAATGTTACGTCTGCAAGCCAATATTGTACCAGAAAAGATCATCTGAACATAAAGCATTTCTTTGCTGAGAAAGATAAGATTTAAGAGGATGAAACTACAAAGTTGGTTGAAAGAAGAGAAAACTATGTTCAATAAAATTAATCTTGATTTTATAATAATAATAATAAAAATACAAATTTCAGTTTTTGCCATAAATTTAAAATTGAAAGGCTTTTAATGTTAAACCTCTCCTTCATAAATTAAAAGCAAACAAACACTAAATTTAGCTTTAACTTGTGATACCTTTAAAGAAAAGTTAAATGCACTAGTAGGGTAATTCAAATATAGCAAAAATTTATTTAAACCATGTTGAGTTACTGTCATGTTATAACAGTTTTTAGCCAACTTAAAGCATTACTCTGAAAATGTTAAATTCAGCTGTTATTAAAATTACCCAAAATTGTTACAAAAATTAATGTCATACACACACTGCCATGAACTTTCCAATTTAAAAGAGGAGTGGAGAAAAAAAAAAGAAAAAAAAGTGCCATAATATTAGATGCTAAGATTAAAATTTTAGCATAAAACAAGTAAACTCACCTGCAGCTCCCTCTTCATTTTTATCTACAGTTTTATCTTGACTGGAGGTAGGAACAGGTACAGTAGTTGTGGCAGTTTTTATACTTGGTGGCACTGATGTATCAACACCAGTGGCACCTTCAACTATATTTGAAGTGGAAGTTTCTTGATTTGATGGTCCTACAACAAAAACATTACAATTACCTTATTTTCAGAAAAATCTAATGTCCCTCATTTTAAATCATACAAAATTTAATATTTTCAATGCATGTATCAAATAATGAAACTTTTATAAAATAAAAGCTTTATATTCACTGTACTCAGAATAAATCTGTTAGCTTTCATTTGCTAGTCTTTAAAAATTTGTGGTGATAGACTACATAAACCTTACCTAAAAAGGTAGGGTACACCACTTGCTCACTGAAAAACAGCATAGCATGATTGGGGAAAAAAAAAAAAAAAAAAAAGTTGTCAAAATGTTTGTTACTAAGACCAAATTATTTTTTTTTTATTATTATTTTATTACATTTAATACTTTCTAGCATGTTTGAAATTTTGGTTAGAATTTTTTTTTTTTTTTTAAACATCAGTGGTCAATGTAATGTTTACGATTAGTGTTTTTGTACCTTTTTTTTTTTTTTTTTAAGGTGAAAAATATTGATTTGGAAATTCTTGCAAAAATCAAATTAGATTTTAATGAACCTTTCAGGACTTATTTACAAATTATTTTTAGATTTTTTTCATTTATACATATGTTACCACTTAATTTCAAGAAATTATATTGCAATCTCAAAACTTGTTTTACTAGTTAAAAGCAAGATTCCTTGGAGGATTTAAATTTTTTTTTTTTTTGTAAGACAGTTACTGAAAATCTGCTCAGAGTTGTAAAATAATAAAAAAATGCAATAAAACTGATATTAATTAGAAAAGCTTTTAATTGCTTTTATAAGATTTAAGGACAGTGTCTTAAGAATAAAAAATTTCAATTGTAATTTATATTATAAATCATTTAAAATTCTGCATTACTTCAATTCAGTTACGTGATATTGTTAAGTGTAAACTATTTACAAATTAAAAAATTGAAAAGCTCAATAAAAGTAGTTTAACCCCCCCCCGTATTTTTATGTATAAAAAAATATTACATGACTATAGTTAATTTAAGTTCAACATTCCTAAAATTAGATTGCAGAAAATATTTTAACATTTTAAGATTACTAAGTACTTAAAAATTATATATAAAGAAAAAAAAATGCTCACCCACCATTGTTTTAACAGATAAAGTTTCTGTAGAACAATAACAAAAAAAGGTGCCGACAGATTTCATCATCACTTAAGTGATTGATTAGTGACAAGCAATGGTAACAAACATGTAATCACTACTACCGTTTGTTTTAAAAATCCATTTGTTATTTTAAACTTAAATGTAAATATTTTTTTTCAAATCAGATTAATTATAGTTTAAATCAGCTAATATTCCTCAAATAAAGTTTCAGAAAAGCATATTTTGGGGGGAGATTTTTAAAACAGAAATGTGTCTAAAAAAAAAAAAAAAAAATATTTATCAATTTTCTGAAAACAACCAAAAAGTTGAAATTCCAATCAGTATAATTTCTATTTGAAATATGCCAGAGCATTTTGCTTACTGGAAATAGTAAATTTAATCATTTAGCTGTTAAAGCTAAAATGAAAGCTTCAAGAATGCTTTTTCATTTTTAAATCATATCAAAACCAAGCGGAAGTACCTACCTAAAAGCATAGTGAATACAATTGAAAATTATTGCCAAATATTCTCAATTACATGCATTAAAAGGTATTAGTTAATTTTTCTTTTAACTTTTGCAACATGAAGGATGAACTTTTACTAATTGTACAGGGTGTTTCAAAAAGAATATGCCAAAATCATTACGCTGTTTTTTCAGGTCTATAGCATTGTAGTGGACTGAATCAGTGGTTATTTGATAGAGTAGTTATCAAAGTTTGATTGGGTGTTAGTTTCACCGCTGTTAGTATAACTTCCGGTGCAGCTGAATTGTGGGAAGATCAATCAAAATGGCGACTCCTCAGCAGAAGGTGGTTTGTGTGCTCGAGTTCGCAAAAACAAACGCCATTGTCATGGTGCAGCGTGCTTTCAGAACAGAATTCGGCATTGATCCATCCCATCGTGAGAGCATTCGATGGTGTGTTAGACAGTTTAAAGAGAATGGGTGCCTGTGCAAAGGAAAGACTCTTGGAAGACCATGTGTTACAGAGGAGCAAGTGGAGAGGATTCATGATGCATTTGAGAGCAGCCCACGTAAGTCCATACATCGACCAAGTCTTGCCATCTCTCATACCACTGTCTGGTGTGTGTTAAAGAGACGATTACACATGAAACCATACAAACTAAGCCTCGTCCAAGTACTTACTAATGATGACAAGGTGATGAGGAGGACATTCTGTGAGTCAATGCTGGAGATGGAAGGTGATGAAACTCTTTTCACGTTTAGTTTTTAGTGACAAAGCGAATTTCCATTTGAGAGGCACAGTCAATCGTCACAATGTGCACATTTGGGAAACAGAGCACCCACATGAAACTGTTGAGCATGAAAGATTCCCCTAAAGTGAACATCTTCTGTGCTGTGTCTCAAGACAATGTTCCCTTTTTCTTCGAAGGAAACACTGTTACAGGACAAACCTATCTCGAAATGCTCCAAAACTGGCTATTCACTTTACTGCAAGCAGATTAAAATGACTTCATTTTTCAGCAAGATGAACACCACCCCATTGGCTTATCTGAATGAAAACGTGCCTCAGCGATGGATTGGGAGGAGAGGTGCTAAAGACCTTGCTCTGTGCTTGGCCTGCCAGATCCCCGGGCCTCACTGTGTGTGACTTTTTCTTGTGGGGGTATGTTAAAGACCAAGTTTATGTTCCAGCAAGTATCGATGACTTGAAAGATCAAATAACAGCTGCAATCAACACGGTGGACCGTGACATGCTGAGGCGCGTTTGGGAGGAATTCTCATATCGGCTTGATGTTGTCCGTGCTGCCGGTGGTGGCCACATTGAGCACTTATAAAACATGAAATGAAACTTGAATGTATATATAACATGTGTTCATGCTAGAGGTTTGTAATTTTTTTGTTTTTGACATATCACGTTATGATTTTGGTGGCATTCTTTTTGAAAAACCCTGTATAATACGCAAAGCTTTATGAACGAATTTGAAAAGTAAAATTTTAAACATAAAAACTGATTAAAAAAGGCACAAAAAGTTTTTTTTTTTTTTTTTTAATTACACACCGAGAGGTACTTTTTATTAAAATAGATTTCAATTTACATTTTGTACAATTCAGTCCAATATCAATGCAGCTCAGCTGTAAATCAGATTACATTGTTTTTAAACTGTCCATAATGCTAGCTTTATAGAAATGTAAGAATTCACTCACAACTTAGTAATTTTAAACGTTTTTAGAAAAAAAAAAAAAAATTTTTTTTACTCATACAAGAGTACTACCAGCATTATAAACCAAATTATATAGAGAGATTTAATTGAAAATAAATATCTTGAAACATTTACACACACGCATATATATATATATATATATATATATATATATATATATGTATATCTGTAAAAAGACCATGAATAAATACGAAAAGAAAATAGTACTACAGAGGATGAAATGTGTCTACCGAGTCAAATTCAGGGATTTTATTTTGTGACAATTATATATAAGAGCAAAAGATATTGTAGCGGTTTTGCAAGATTTTTAAGTTTAGGAACACTCAAATATGCATCAGGTGAGCTGAAAAGTTAAGATATTTTTTTTTTTTTTTTTTTTTAAGTGTACTGAAACAAAACCTAGACTGCATGCTGGAGTTGGGTGGTATGGAAATTTTGGTTTAGTTTTTTTTTTTCTTGATACCTCGGTTTTCAGTTCAGTATTGATTTTTAATTTTTTTTTTTTTTTTTTGTTTCTAAGTAAGCCATTCATTTTCTTGTGATGATTAGTTATTATTCAACATTTAGCTGAATTATGCCACTATTTCAATAACTATTGGGTCAACTTTGTGACTCAATCATTCTCTATGATATTATGAATCATAAGCTTTAAAGAGTTGACCGTTAACTCTTTAAAAGAGTAACCAGAGATTCATGAAAGATTTGAAGAATAAAAATTTGAATCTCCATTCTAATTCTTTAACCACCCAAAAACTAAAATTCAACTCAGAAGTGCAAGAAATTAACCATAAAATTTGAACAAACAAAATAATTTAAACAGAATTAAGCAAACACTCAGAAGATGAAAATGAAATATTGTCAAAATTATTCAACAGATAAAAAAATTAATTTTGTAAAAAAGAATGTTTCTCCTCATTGTCATAGGTTGTAATTGAGAAAAACCAGTTTCTTAGCATCAGTAGGTTTCAACCTACATCTCCAGTCACTGATGATAAGTCCCAGCAAGGTATAAAAAAAAAAAAAAAAAAAAAAAAAAAAGTAGGAATTATTCTCAAAGTCATTTTTTTTTTTTTAGGCTTTAATGGCAATTAAGTCATAGAACTCATGACTTGAATTAAAGTTTAATCATTAAATTTTCGAATAAATTGTCAAATAAATACCATATTTATTAACAATTTAGTAAAATACAAAAATCATTGCATAAATATCCAGGTTTTGTTTAGTTTGTGTGTCTTTGGATAACATTTGAGAGAAAAACGGTATAGCCGAGATAGCTCTCCAGAAATGACAGTCAAGTGGCTTTTTAAAAAAGTTAAAAATAAAATTTAAAAAAGATCTGACTTCATACTTTTTAAAATTTTTACTTGCTATTTCGTTTTGCTGATTTAATTTACTTTTACAAATGTTTTTTTTTTATATCTCTGAAAGATTTAAAAAAAAAAGTGCTGTTTACAGTGTGTAGATCAAACGGGAGGGGGGGGTCAGTTTCTTTGGTTAAACTGCCCATCTCTAATGCATGGTTAACTTTTAGAAAACAGGTTTTCATTTCCACAAATGAAATACCATATTTCAAGGTTTATACCCAGTAGAACCAAAACTGCTGAAATTCACATTGGGCATTTTGCTGCATTGAAAATTAAAGGTATTTATGGGTAGTAAACTACGTTGTTCTTGGAAAAGACTCCAATAAATTCTGCAACAATATTAATCATTAAGGTCTGTATTCTATAAATACTTGAGAGCTAATGCTTGCTTGGTTTATAATTTTCTCTAATTTATTATTCAATAAATAAAGTTGCTCCAATAACAGTAATTAACACAAGCTATTTGATATAGTTATTCATTAGAAGACTTAAAAGTACCAAGTTTTCAGGTTAACTAACCAAGAGCAAAATTGTTTCAGCTTCAGAAAGCAAAAGAATAGAGTAATTCATGCTTAAATCAATACATATAAACATCTTGAGTTGCAATTAATTCTAGTTGACCAACACAAAATATAGATTTGAATTTGAAGAAAACAATTTTACTCACTGGAAGGGGCAATTTAGTAAACTAAAAAAGCTTTACCTTTCAGACAAGTTTAAATGAGATGCTCTCAAATATAAAATGCACATACCATGGTTAATTTGTCATTAAGCCAATCAACAACAAAACATGTAGCAACCCAGCATTAGCATTGTGTAAGACAACAGCTGTAACAAAAAGCATGTATATTGAGAATGGAAGGTAAAGTGAAAAAGGAATTTAATTACTTTACCTAGAGATGTCTGTGCCAGTGAGGCAGTCACATTGCCAACTTTATCAGCCTCTCCTGTCGGGCTGATGCGGCCACTCACTGGTGATGAATTTTGTTTCCGTTTGATTGCGTCTTTATAACACTTAGAACACATACCATCTAATGCTGCAGTTCCATAGAACCCACACCCCATTCGGCAGAGCGTACCTGCAGATAAGTTTTGATTCCCATTTTGTTCCATGTCCAGCAGCCCTATAAAGTAAATGGACAATTAATACACTCAAAGAACAAGCAAAGTTAAAATTTTCTTTTAACCAGAAAGGTGACACAAATTTAGCTTTATCCAATTAAAAAGCAAAGAAATAGTCAATTTCTGAAGTTTAGTGGCATAGTTAAGATTCTTGAATCCAATAACATGAAAGTGAAAAACTTGATCACCAGTAAGGAAAATTTTAAAGTGAAAAACTTGATCACCAGTAAGGAAAATTTTAAGTTATCAAATTATAACTACCCCCCCCCAAAAAAAAATTCCAATTAGAATTTATTTTAATATCATCATAAACAAATTTTTAGAAATTTTGAGTGCAATTTAATTTATGTATCGTTTTTATCATTGAGAAGTAATCATGTGTATAGTGAAAGGTCACAAATATTCATGAGTGACATACAGGAGAGATACTAAGAACCAGATGAAAGAAAAATCACAATGACTATCAATCCAACTGCTAGTTATAGTTCAATATTTAAGGAAATTTATAATTTGATTCCAGACATGTAAGAAAATCTTAAGGACAATTTAGCTATTATTTAAGACAATTACTATTTAAAATTCCGAGTTACTTTTAATACAATTATTTTCAAGTGAATTTTCAGCAAACAAGTGTTTATATTGTCTTGGGGAGAAAAAATAATTTGAAAATTAATTTTAATATTTTTTATTGTTGAAAAGGACTTAAATCTATTTATAAACACTAAGAGAGAAAGTGCGTATGTGGATGAAGAAGTACAGTTAATAGTACAACTTCGTTTCCAGTTTTACAGGATAAAAAGCTTTAGATTTCACATATGAGAAAAATAAAAATAAAAAACAAATTATATAATCCAATAACTGAAGAGGTAATGTGGGCAAACAAAGTTTATAGAATTTTAAATATATAAGCAAATCATTCCTAGATTTTATATTCAAGGAATCTTTACCCATAATATAAAAAAAAAAAAAAAAAAAAAAAAAAAAAAATTTTTTGCAATTGGATTGGTTATATATTTTCTGCACAAGTATTAAATTTTTTCATCTATAGGAATAACTCATTACATAAATAGCAAGTATGCATTTTAAAATCATTAATAATAAAAATATCCAAAGAAAGCTAAAAGAAAAAAAAAAAAAGTATATTTCTCTGCTATTGTAATAGAACATGTTTGCTTACTGGAGTTTAGTAATGTCTCCCATTAACATAACAGAATATATCATTACTAAGGGGAGATCAGGCTGTGTGACCAATAAAGATTGGTCACATTGTGTTTTTATATTACAGAACAAATTTGAAAATGGAAATTTATATTGGTTTGTGGAGTGTTAAGCAACTTATTGCTTGCAGAAAAAAAAAAAAAAAAACAACATTTATGCATATTTCCCAATCTAATAATACTCTGCTGAAGCTACATTCCTCAACTTTACAAATAATTGTAACCATTCAGGTCAGCAACGGTTTTGTTTGTTTTTTTAATGAAACCCAATTTAATGCAAAAAGTCATGTGATTTTCAAATTTAAACATCAGTCTACAGACTAATTGTGAATCAACACTTCTAAATATACACTGAAGTTAAATGTTTTTCAAAGTTTAATAATATACAGTGGAGCAACAACATACTCATTATATCCAGCAGTCTAACACTAAAACAAGACACTTAATTAAAACAAAACAGAAGTTCTAAATATCAAAGACATTCCAATATTTACCTAATTCCAACAAAAGTACAATTAGAAAATACATTAAGTTTTGTACAAATCTCAACAGTGAATTATATATAGTATTAAACATGTAATCATCTACAAAAGAAACTCCATTGTTATTGATCAGATACGCAATATTTCATATACAATTCCTAAATTACCTTGATCCTTTGACACTTTGCTTTCTATCAGGATTTGATTATTTTTCTCATTTGTTGCATTGTAATTCATCAGGTGTAAAGTATCCAACAACGAGATAATGGCATCTTTCCTACAATTGCAGACTGATAAAATGTTATAGTACATATAGACACTAATAATATTTCAGCAAACAAGAGAAAACAAACCAAAACAACTTTCACTCACTGTCTTCAAAATTAAGTTCTTGAAGCACTTGAATTATTTTTGTTTAAATGTTTTCAAGTTCATAAAATGCTTTATCTTATTAACAGCAATATTATGCTAGTTTTTAGGTGCATCCAGGTTAGAAAGGCAGAACTACCAAAAGATCCAATGGAACTTGAAAAGTAACCATATGAAATTCAAATAAATTACAGAAGACTAAATTATAAAGAGAAAATGCTTCTATTTGTAGTGGGGATACCATTAAAATATTGTAGCAATATTTAACCACCAATCCTTAAAAAAAAAAAAAAAAAAAAAATAATATCACAAGCTTATAAGCTGTTTTTGTTTCAAAAATTAATGTAATAGTTTTTTTTACCTTACTACTGTACTAAATTTCTATCACCAATTGTGTAGCAAAGTAATAACTATAGGTATCAACTTTGTGTTTAGATATTTACAAATGAAATTCTAGCAATACATTTATTTAAAGTGTCAGTAGATATGATAGCGTGAATATCAAAACATTTTATTTTCGGAATCAACAACCTGTTAAGTGTTATTCTATTGAATGATTGTGCTGAAATTTAGTCACTATACACACACGTGTACAATTCCTTCGATAAAATAAATTATCAGATCACGTCAATACGACTGGTATGGTTCCCGTTCAGAATGAGAACTACAGCACAGTATTTAAATAAAAGCAATCTGTGTGTGTGTGTGTACACTTTACATAGGAGCCAGGTTTTTTTTTGTTTTGTTTTAAATTGGTGTGGTGTTGGTTCGTCTGGAAAAGACAATGGCATTAATTAAGGAAAAATAAGTAAAAGATGCTATGTTCAATAAGTACTAATACTACTAAACTAAACCCACTTAGTTACTTTTATGTAAAAATATACATTTTACAGATAAGTATCTCCAATACATTTCAAAACTTCAAGTTCTTAGGATTAAAAAAAACAAACTTAAAACCGACGACATAGTTACCCCCCACCGTCTTTATAATATCTTCACGTGAAAGGAGGAACCAGTTACCATACCTCTTCCGATGTTTAAATTGTTAAGCCTTTATTTAAAAAGAAAAAATAGTTCATTCATTCAACTCAAAAGCCAATGTTAACATCGCGTCAATTTTCTCATCGGTACAACGAAAACAACAGTAAGAAAAAATATGGAAAGGTTCCTTGTGTAAGGGACCCAAATTTTGCATTTGAACGTAAAGAAAAATGAAAACTATCGCACCTTCATTATTTTAAATACCAAGTCTTCACGAAAACTGTAAAAATATTCTATCCATGGAAAAAATATACTAAAATAAAATGAATTCATTCAATAAATTTAAAATAGGTGTTGCGGCGTGAGTAAACAGATTGTACGTTCTTGACAAAAACTTCGATCGTTCAAAATGTGGCCAAAAATTATAATATTAAAATCTCCAGGCAAAATTAAGTGCATGTAAACTAAACCTAACCAGTTAAAGAAATACTAATGTACTACTTAACTATTTTTACGAAATTAAGTATTTTTAAACTTAACAGATTATGCATTATGAAATTGATCAAAAAGCGCAAACTAAAATAAAAATTCCAATAAATAATCGTTGTTAGCTATGAACTTGGAAACAAATGGAACAGGCTTTATTTTTAGACATAAGGAAGCTAGGAACAGCTGATAAATCGTACAAACAAACCTAGTTTGTTGTTTTTTTTTGTTGTTTTTCGTTTTTTACTCCTCTTATGCAAAAGAATTCTTTCAAGAGAAAGAACAAAGGCGGAGAGAATAAGGATTTACGATTGTTTGAATATTTTTGGTATTTTAGCCAAAGTCAGTTAAGTCACCAAGGTGATATCGCTAATAACTGGTTGCATAAAAAACGATAGCGAAAGATCTAGTTTTTAAGTTTTATTTATATTATTTCTAGCTTTAACTTTTGAAAAATATACAAATATTTTGTGCCCTGCAGTTCTACACATTAAATAATACGAGTCAGCTGTGTAGATCTGTTTAAAAACGCACACACAAGAAAGAAAAGGTTAGACTAAAAAGGTCTCTAAAGGATACGAAAGTTAAAGTAGGATTGGAAATGGCAGTAGACGATATTAAAAGTATCAACCTGATACTCAGATTATAAGGAAAGAACGGATATATCGGGCTTGTCTCCATATTTAATAATATAAATCAGGTTTAAAAGAAAGGAGAGAAGAGAGATGACAGTGCATTTCGAAGTAAAACACGTGAAGTTGGGTTTAGAATGGTCAGAACAAAGAGTGACGAATTACTTGACAAAGGAGACATTTTAAACGATAAAGGAAGGGATGAATTAGAGCATCAAATAGACAATTTCAACCAGAACATCATAATGTTTAATGGGAGACTATAAACCACAACCAACAAGCAATATGTCCTCCTCTCTCTCTCTCTCTCTCTTCCTTTAGAGAGGAAGAACTTACTCGGACAGATTCCCTTAGACTTCTTTCGCTATATCCACATAGGACAACCACTTAACGAATAAAGACCAAATTTAACAAGTCCCATTAATTCTGTTCCTATTCCTCGATGCACAAAGTAAAATTTTGTACGGGACGACAAGCGATAAATAGAATTAGAACGTTGGTAAAAACATGAAAAAAAAAAAACAAAAGCCTCCGTGGTTTTTCGCGTCAAGATGGCGAACAGCTTCATTTGGTAGTCGCCCTTCCAAAAAGTAGCTTACAAAAACCTACCTTTTCAATAACATTTTTCCCCAAAAACTACCAAGAAGAAGATCCAGTGATAGGGTAAGGGTTAGTTCTCGTAGAAGAAACGAGTAAAATTTATGCAGAAGAAGCGACATTTACCTTTGAAGCCTTTAAAAAAAAATATAGTCTCTTCCTCTGTTTCGGAGTTTGCCTTTCGTTCGTAGCGATACAGCAATGCTTGATTATTTAGGTCATGTGACGTGGTTGACGGCTATTATTGGCAGAGTTGAAACCAAAACGAGACTGAAAAAGGGTAAGTCCTGAAGAGGCTCAGGATTACCATTACGACTACCACCGAAACTATTCCGACTATCAATGCTCTTCTTAACACCAGTAACTACCACCAATAATATCGATATTAAAACTACTGCCGCCACTAATAAATAGTATTAATACAATGCTCTTATTATAACCATTACGATTAATAGTATCAAACTCCGCTGACAAATAATATCAATACTAAACTAACCATCATCTGACATCAAAATAAAACTAACACTAAAGTAAAAAACCAATATGATTAAGAAGAAGCTCAAATTATCTGAATGAATTATTATATTATTTTTAAATAATGAAACTATTACAATTATTATTACCACTGCTGTGGCGGTAGTAATAATGAAATTGATGATAGTGGATAAGGATATTGTTAGTACTTTTTTTTAACCATTAATAATTTATTTCACTAACATATTACTAAGAGTTTATTATTACTGGAAAAAATTAGGACCAACATTAACTCCAAAATAACAAAAAAAAAGATGTTTTTTTTCTTTGTGGCAAGATTGTTATTAATAGTTTAATATTCTTATAAACACTTGATCAATGATGATAATACAGATGTCAATGACAAAAATTTTTATAATAAACCTGAAATCAATTCTACTCATTTTTGATTTTTGCATATACTTTTCTTTTTCAACCACAAAATGACTACTCTGAAAAAGAAGTTAAAACTGTAGAAGTTCATTTTTAAGACTACATAAGAATTACCAAGAATTTACATATTGCTTACCTTGATAACAACTACTTTGGATTTAAAACTTTATGCATTCACACAACTAACATTAAAAAAAAAACAACATTGCATGAGATATTTTCCAACTTTCAAAAATTTTATAACTTCATCAAATTTATGTTTATTAAACAATGTTGATGTAAAAAAAAATTCCTTGTATAAAAATAAATCACAAACTGAAAATAAAAAAGACTGACTTGTAAACTTTGTAACGGTCAAGTGAATTTTTTTTATTAATAATAAATAAAAGGAATAAATAAAAAAATTCTTTTTTATCATTGGTAATAAATGAATCCTTATTTTTTCCTGTTTGTTTTAATTTGCATTTTAAAAATATAATAATATGCAAAGATTTGTCTACAATTGTAGAGACACTCTCATAAACTTTTGAAATTGTTTCATGATTATCTGTTATTTGCAAATAATAAATTCAGTAATTTCAAATAATTTTCAAATAGATTTTATTAATTTTTAATAACTTAAATACTTTTAATAATTGTAAACACTACTTTGAATATTTAAATTTAAAATATAAAAACACAAGTACACATATCAAAATTATAATTATAGTTTTTTATAATATGTTTTAAATTAAAATTTCTTCCCCTCATCTGTCAATTTTTGCTGCCATTACATGGCCAGGTATGGCAATTATGAGATAATAGACTGTCTGTCTTTTCAGTCACCTGCTCTTTTTCTTTCTACCATTATGGTGGAACTATGACATGGCCATGGTTAAAATCACTGGCTATGTAACAGAGGTTTGGAAGAGTTGTAGTCATACCTTTCTCAAAGGTATTAGTGTGCAAATTGAAACAACCAGATTTCAGTTTGTTGATTCTACTTTCAATAGTGCTACACATACAACTAATTCAAGTTTTAGGAAGATTGAACAAGAAATCTTAACAAACAACTAAAAATATAAATTCAGATATTTGCTTAAGCACGCACTTACAGTGGCATGAAGAAAGAAGAATTTCACTAGTTGTAAAATATTTATTTAATATAATTCCAATGTTTATATTTACTTTTTATTTACACAGATAAATAAATATAAAATTTATATTTTGAAATAAAATTAATAACCACTAAGAAAAAAACATTTTCTATTTGCCATTCTCAAGCATTCTGCATAGTAACTTTTGGTATCTTCTAACAATGCTACATTCTGTTATATCATTACATTCATTGTCATTCCCCATGTCATTTTCTTGCAACAAGGATATCATGGCTAACCCTTAAACAGTGGGTAATGGTTTGATGATTGTGCATGCCAAATGTGTAAAGAAGAAGAAAATTATTTTTTTTAAAGTGTAGATTTTATGCTTATTTTCACTTTGATTATATACAAAAACTATTAGAATGACATTTTAATTCTTTTACATTAAAAAAAAGAGAAAAAGTAAAAAAAAAAAAGAAGTTAAATTTCATATTTTTTAACATTATGATACATGTAGTGATAGCAACAAATAAACTACTAAATAATCCCCAATTGACTATGTAGTAATCTGGAACCAAAATAATTAATAATAAAAGAAAAATTAAAAGCTAAGTAATAAGAGTACTTTAAAATACAGATAAGAATGGTAATTAACAATAAAGAAAGAAAAAATAGATTATGAAAAATAGTTAAATAAATATAGAATACTCTTATGATGCGTCAGAATAAGCATTTTACCACCAAATGAAACAAAAAAAAATCAAAACTTTGTCTCTCTTCATTTTTTTCAACTCCATAGGAGGCAGATGACCTGGACAGTTCTCTGATAAAACATATTGTCACCAACAGATTAGCAAAATTTCTTTATTTCTGTAGACATATTTGTTCTTTAAAATATACAGTCATTTCTCTGAAATGTATACTAAAGCATTTTATTTTTCTTGTCTATGCTTATTTGGTTGTATCTTATATATGATTTTGTTTGTAATTTTATAATCCACTTGTGGGCTGTTGATGGCCTTTTAAGCCTAAAAAATACATTTATAAAAAATTTGCATCCAGACAAAGCCAACACATCACTAGAACATCCATAGCATACTTTTTGAAGGATTTCATGTACAATGAAATTGTACCTTTTTTGCATCAATTTGTCACCATTTTTTTTACCTATTTTCTCTTTGAGAAGTATGCATCAGGCATAGAATTGTTGTTGGCTTGTTCTTCCAGTTTTATTTGCAAGCAAATAAATATTCCAGGTAATGAATGAATCTTAGTAAATAATAAGTGCATAAAGTTGCCAATTAGTCATTTAAAATCAAATCATGAATGAATTATGCCTGTATCGTTGGAAAAAGTTTAAGTCATTAATTGACGATACCTGTTTATCTCCAATAATGATTGATGAAGCCCATCATTTAAGGGTTTCAAAAATGACATAATTAAGCAATATAATGAAACATTGAACTACATTCACCACTGGATCAATTATTCAAAAGTAAAACTTTTTGTGCCATCAAAAGTTTTCCTCAGAAGTTTTCCCACAGAAAATTTTCTGCATGAAATCTCTTCACAAACAACTCAAAAAATTCTAAGAAATGTAAAAGATAATCAAATGGTAGCTTGAAAGGAGATGTAAAATGATTTAAGAGCAACTGAAAAGTAGTTACTAAAAGAACTATTATCAATGAACAACACAAGCATGGTTTAAAATCCTGTACCTCACAGAAACCACCTTTGTTGAGGAAAAAAAAAAAAAGAAACCATAGAATTTTTAAATAAAGTCCATTCATGAGCATTTACGGAAGTGTCATAATTTTTTATTCTTCATTCAGACAAAACAAAAATTGAACTTTTTGGCCACAACTCCACTGGTCATTTATGAAGAACATATAGATACACTTATAATAACAATAATACCATCCCTACAGAGATACAAGTGTAATGATTTGGGGGTACTTCATATGAATGGAGAAATCTATTAGTGTATTCTGGAAACTAATTTGTTTCCTTCAGTGCCACAGTTGAACATTGATGAGGGTTGAATCTTTTAAATGATCCCAAGTATACAGCTAACGTAATTTGTGAAACGTTTGTTCAGAACAATGAAAAAGGTGTTGCAGAGGCTTAGTTAATCTCCTGACATGAATCCAATTGAAAATCTATAGTGAAGCTTAAAAGATCAAATTCATAAAAAGGACCCAAGAATCATTAATGATTTTAAGGTCATTCACAGGGAAGAGTTACATAAAACATTTCTGAGCAGTAATGACAAACTAGAGTTATGCAACTAATAAATATTAAAAATATAAATTCATTATGTTTAAATGTTTTTTTTTCTGTCATTACTTTAAATACTGTTGAATGATTTGAGCTAGGCAAGGATACTGATTGCCATTATGTTGAACCCGACTCTTGATAATTCAATGAATTATTAATCTTTCATTTATATATTTTTTATAATTTCAATGTGTGAAATATTTAAATAAACAGGGACTGTATGTACACTATAATACAGACTTTTCCTAATACCTTTTGTGAGCAGTGCTTTTTGTTGGGTTGCTCTACCCAGAACTAAATAGACTATTTTAAAAGAAACACTGAAGACTAGCTGTTACAATATGGAATGTCTTTATGGTCAAATTCTCTGAAATATTGGTTAGCAACATGTGTGTGTGTGTGTGTGTGTGTGTGTGTGTGTGTGCGCTCTCACACGCACACGCACACACACACACACAAAGTCAGATGTTTACATAAACCTTAACCAAATACATTTAAATTCAGTTTTTCACAATTGCTCCCATTTATTCCTAGTAAAAGATTACCTGTTTTGGGTCAGCTAGGATCAATATTTTATTTAAGAATGTGAAATCTCAGAATAGTAGTAGTAATAATGATTTATTTCAGTTTTTATTTCTTTCATCACATTCACAGAGGGTCAGAAGTTTACATACACTTAGTATTGGTTGTATGCCTTTTAAATTGTTTAATTTGGATTAAACATTTTGTATAACTTTTCTCAAACTTCTCACAATAAGCTGCTGAAATTTTGGTCTATTCTTTCTGGCAGAACTATTGTAACTGAGATAGATTTGTAGGCCTCCTTTCTCACACAGGTTTTATTTTGTTTTCTTTTATTTCTGCCCATATATTTTCCATTGGATTGGGATCAGGGCTTTGGGATAATCACACTATTATCTTTTATTATTCTTAAGCCATTTTGCCACAACTCTGGAAGTATTCTTGGAATCATTGTCTATTTGTAAGATCCATTTGCAATCAAATTTTAACTTTCCAGCTGATGTCTTGTAACATTACTGCAATACAT